CGAATACACATATGGTCAGTTCAGCCCATTGTCATCAACGCCTACTGGCAAGCAGCACGGAATAATGGTTTTAATGAATGAAAAAAAAATTATCTTCGATAGATCGCTCTTCGAGGTCAAATATGATGGAGAACTGCTCGAGCGTTTTCTCACTGATAATTAAATATTGACTTTATCCAACGATATATTATTTTCAACTCTCTCTTTATTAATATGATTAAAAAGATATTTCATTAACAGAGGTAAAACGACGAACAATCCCCAATTAATTTAAACTACACACACATTTAGAAACCCCTATATTTTTGATAAACAAAAGAAATGAGAAAATAGTACAGTGTTTGAATTTTGAATACGACTTTTTAAAAAACTTCTATTTGTCATAGAACATCTTTAAAGGATTTCTAAGTTACAGCATTAAACTTTAGTACAAGTTACTAACTCAGAGCTTGAATAAAATGAGCGGAAAAAAGTTTAAATGTAGAGCTTAAAGCTAAGGTAGTTTCCCGTCGTTTCTCAACAAGCCGAAACTTCTACATGAATCGTATGCATAATGGAATATTTATGACACTGATGCTGTAAATGTATTATGAAGAAAAACTCTTAAATAAGTAGTTATAGGAGAAATTTTACGTTTAACTTGTATATCCTAGACCATAGGTTATATATATACAAGTATAGGTATAAGGTATAGGTATAAGGTTATATATATAGGACCACTTTAGCGCGTAAGCGTGTACTAGGCTGCACTAAAAGTATCGGGAATGGAATATTTCCACTGTTCCTGTCATATTAAAATCTTTTTAATTGAAAACTCTACTCTACTAAAAATCGAATACCATTTATTTATTTAAAAAAAGATTCTCGGTCTTGTCACAAGGTTTTGTCAAACATGTTTAGTCGTTGAGAAAATGGAATTGACTCGAGAAAATTCAAGAGCGATGATTTATTATGACTTTCGAAGTGGTTTAACACAAAAACAGTGTGTTGACCGAATGATTTCTGCATTTGGTGATGAAGCCTCATCCAAAACCACAATTTATCGCTGGTTTGCTGAATTTCAACGTGGATGTGTCAAGCTCAGTGATGATCCCCGTCAAGGTCGTCCAAAAACTGCAGTCACCCAAGAAAACGTTGATGCTGTGCGTAAGCTGATTGAGGAAGATCGCACAACGCGAAATTCAGGCAACTTTAGACATTGGCATGAGTCAAATACAAATAATCTTGCATGAACAATTAGGTGTAAAAAAGTTGTTTTCCCGATGGATACCGCATTCGCTCTGTGAAGAGCAAAAAGCGGCTCGCGTTACTTGGTGCGTCAGAACTTTCGAAAGATTCCACGCAGGATCCTCAAATGCTGTATAAAACACCGTATCAGGTGACTAATCCTGGATATACGCGTACGAACCCGAAACAAAAAACCAGTCACGAGTTTGGGTGCAAATGAATTAAAGCCAACAAAAATGTTTGTTCACGGAGTGTTGCAAAAAAATGGTGGCCACATTTGTCTCCAAAAGCCATGTTACGACTATTCCTCTTGAGGGACAAAGAACGGTTAATGCAGAATGGTATGCTAGCATTTGTTTGCCACAAGTCGTTTCTGAACTCCGTAAAGCGAACCGCAACCGCCGCATCATCCTCCATCACGACAATGCGAGTTCTCACACCGCACACATAACAAAAGAGTTTTTAGAGCAAGAAAACATAGAATTATCAGACCATCCGCTGTACAGCCCCGACCTAAGCCGTAATGATTTCTATACTTAAAGAAAAAAAAATAAAGAATAAATTGCGTGGACAGAGATTTTCATCACCTGAAGAAACTGTGGACGCCTACAAAACGGCCATTTTGGAGACCCCAACTTCCGAATGGAATGGTTGCTTCAATGATTGGTTCCATAGTATGGTAAAATGTGTCAAATTTCGAGGAGAATACTTCGAAAATCAATAAGTACATTTTTAAATAGTAATGCTGTGTCACTTCCTTGATTCACGAAATTTTCAGTGCCGCCCTCGTATAGATAAAAATAGAATGACAAGCTGCGTAAAAATTAAAAATATACTCATAAACATTTATTCTCAGTTATTATTAATTAATGTAATTACGCTTTTTTGTGATTTTCTCATAAAATAAACTTAAGGCGGCTACTTTTCATGACATTATTATGCAAATAAAGTTGAAAGACAAAACTTATTAGTAAATTTAATCCTCTTCGTATCATGCGCTAACATAGTAATATTATGCGCTTTGATAACTTGCTGCGGCGCTTGTAAACGGCGACAGCGGTGAAACACTACTAAGAAAACATCACCAAATCAAGATAAGAAATGCCTGTCTTACGCTAAAACCATTTGAACTGTTGTTTTACTTTTGTTTTATAAACTCAATAAATCAAACTTGAGAACATCAATTAAGTACCTAAAATACGAGTGGAAAATAAAATGACGTGTTTTACCAAGTTTCGAAGAGCACCTCCGTCTCGCTCATACTTTCATTTCCGTCATTTACCCAAAATCACTGACACCATTATAACCTTTATACTAGAACATACAAATATAGTGTGATATAGCTCTAAGCGAGGCATCGTTAGAAGAAATAGACATTGCGATGTGTAATTGCAAGCTAACTTTACGAAATAAAAATAAATTTAGAGTATAGCACAAAAGAGTGAGTGTTCAAGTTTCCAGTTCAATATGTAACTCAGATTGCGCTGATTATATATATTTTTTTTACAGAATGACGTTTTTAAAAGATTACAATTTTGAATTGCGGTCTTATGTAGGTAGATATTCTAACAATTTCGAGTACTTAATATGCGTTTCACGTAAATGAACCGCATATTAAACTCTTCTAAAAGAGCCTTACTTGGAATCACAGAATAAATAAATCCTAACTCACTTCACTTTTAGTCCGTAAATAGATATTGTAAGGAGAGTGATGACCAGTGCAGATTTACACCAAATGAATATAAATTTTATCGTACGCGAAAAACCCAAGTTCCAGTCCCGTCCGCGATATTGAAACCTTATATCACAACTTTTAATGCAGATTAACAGAAGAGAAAACCTGAACATTCTGAGTTATTAAAATAATTCGAGAACATGTAAAAGTATTGTAGCAGTAGTAAACTGTTTCCTACTCAGTGTTCGAAATGTTATGAATATTTTATTATATTAGGTTGGTTTACAAAGTTCAGTTTGCTTTACAGTTTTTGATGTTACTCGTATATTTATAATTGCAAAAATTGAGTCAGGTTTTATAAGTTTTCTCTTTTCCGTTTAAAGAATTTTTTTTACACCAGCTAAACGATTTGTTAAAACAAACTTATTACCTATACACCAAATAAAACTATACACCTAGTATAGTTTCGGTGGGACTTCTTTTCTGTCTATGAAACAGAAACAAAAACTTTTTTATTCAATATACATTACAAAAAACACTTATTGAAAGTTCCTCCTTTGTTCAGTTTATGACTAGTTCGGAAAAAACTTCTGTCCTGGGAAGGACCAGCAAGATATCCAGCGGGACGTATTTTTGATAAACAAACTAACAGCTTACAATCATATACGCTATACAATTAATAATACAAAATAAATTAGACGTAGCTTGGTAGCGATCATCACATTCCAAGGTATATCCATATTAACCATCCATAAGGATACACACGAGATACAGGAGTTCATCTAAATCATAGACAAATAGGGTGCGTTTGGCAGAAAAAAGCGCTAGCAAGCGCTTATAAGCGCTAAAATAGTTTTCGGCCAGGACACGATTGCTACTTCAGTAGCGCTGACACAATCCGCCATTTTGCTTATTTAATTTGTTTGTTTTGAAGTAGAGTTTATAAGTTGTTTTGTGCAATATTAGTTTTAAGTAATATAATGACATGAATAAATATATACATGCTATTAAAAACTCATGATTGGCAAGTTTTTAATATAAATACTTTACAAACATATATTTAATTAGGTTAGATTCCCCGCTTAAAACTAACATCGTGTCCTGGAGGAAAATAGCTACTTACGATTTGACAGCGCTTACCGCTTACGATCGCCATTTTGCTTACAAGCGCTTGCTAGCGCTTTTTTTCTGCCAAACGCACCCATTGCAATGCTTGCACTGCTATGTTGCGGCGTGAACGGTATATAGAGCTGGTATAATTATAGACTGTAAGGTATTCCATCTTGGACCTCAGGGGTGACAGCGCATATGTAACCTTCTATGTGTGTAGTTGAACAGCAGTGGCTACTTAATAATAATAATGATAAATTAAAAAAAAACACTTGACACAATTAGTTCTCCAATAAGTTAAGTTCAATTTCTGTAAGGAGTAAAATTGCTTAAACGAAATTAATTGCGAACCAATTAGCGAGCGCACCTGTCTTGATCGGAGGTAAGTACAACATCGCGGCGACATGCTTCCGTTCCATATACACGGACGTATATATATCGTTCACATGACACTAGTGACGTGAGTCGTGAAAGTGGCTTTCATCTAATTATAATAATTATTTGTTCATCTGCAGAACGAGCAGCCGTTTATCACGCGTTACGAAATGGTTACATAATATAACAAATATTTTCGCTCATTAATGTTACATTTTAATGGCGTATGCCAACCTGTTACTTAATATAGCGATCCAGTTTGAATGTTACATGTGTTAAAAACAATTGCGATTTCATGTTTTGATATGTAAACAACCAAAAGTTATATAAGACGCACGTAATTAAATATTATGACGTTTCTTTCCCGAACTAAAGACTTATTATAAGTAATAGTAATTGTAAATGCTGCTGTACATGTAGTACTAAATTAAGTACTAATTCATTTAAAATACTATAAGATAGTGACATCGTATGTTCCAGTGTCCAAGCTGAGGACGGAATGAAGTATAATTTTATTTCATTTGAAACACATTCCAAAGTCACAAGCTTAGAAGTCTAGCACAACTTAGGCAAAGTCTTGTAATATTACATCCGTATTGAAGGAGCTTACTACCTTTCTTGAGGCTAAGCTGATTTTCGCCTCCAGCCTGGAAGTCGTACAACGCCACAAATAGTTGCGGATCATCATCTTCTTGGTGCGCTAGCAAATTCTCTTTCGATGTCCATCTGTAAAAATATAAGAGAAATTTGTATACCTGACTTGGGTACTATAGAAGCACTATATTGTTACAATATTATTTTAACCCCTCTCAGTACCTTCATGTTGTAGAAACACAACAATGTTATGTTTTCAATGTCAGTCAGTCTTATTAGAAAATCATCAATAACAAACTTTATACCGTTATTTAGCGGACAATCTACGCAATTAAAGAAATATATTCTTTTAAAACTTCTAGTAATGTATATGCTTATTTGAAAAAAAAACAGTCTTGAGAACAGTGAACTAAGTTTTTTTAGAATATTAGGCTGGAAACTGGTTAAAAGCAGCCTATGAACTCTTGTAACCAACTTTAAGCCCGGTAACATTTTGAGAAGTGACAAGTGCGAGTGGCAAGTGCAACTGACAAATGTCAAGTGCTTAGTGCGTATTTTATTCACACTTATCACATGACACTGCCTGTTCACACTCATTAAGCAGTTGTCATTTGTCAGTTGCACTTCTCAAAGTGTAAACCGGGCCATTACATACAGGATGTATCACTAATGCTGATGAAAAAATGTTTTGTGGTAGTAGAAAACCTGTTGGCGGTGTCGAGCGGCTGTGGCGTGGTCGGCGCTGTCCCAGCACCTTCGCCGTCCGGCAGGTCTGGTATGTGCGGCAGCGGACGGCTTTGACGCAACGCCTCTGTAACACGACAAATTCTAAACCTGAACTCGAGCACATAACGTGCAAATACAAGTGTTGACATGCAAAATCTATATATTTATTGACAATCGGCTCCGTGGCGCAGTGACTAAGCAATGAGTTATAGCCACTGACTTCTATATATACAAGTACGCTGGACTGGCTATACCATAGAAAATGACTGTGCCAAATTGAAGCGCCGCTAAAGGTTGTCTTGAAAAATTAAATTGACATAATATGTCAAAGTCTGTTGTCTCATTTATATTGTCTTATTTAATAAGTCCGTATTTTGAACTTTTAAAAAAAAACGAAAGTATTTTATGTTGTTTGGTTGTGTATAATATTAGTTACATAATAAGAATTATTTTTATTAATAATGGGAGTGTGCGTAATCCGTAAAACTTTTTACCAAAAGGGAAGTGGTATAACATTTCACAAGTAAGTGAATTTGCAGCAAAAATTAAACAAATTAAAACTATTTGATAATATAAGTACTTAAAATGTGTTACTAATCTTAATATCATATATATACCAACATCTTTGGCTGTATATTACTGAGTTTTGATAAACAATAAAATTCAATAGTGTTGTCGAGTTCCTTGTCTATAATACTTATCGATGTTCTTTCCTACCCATATCTGTTAACAAACAAAGTCGCCAACAACAGACGATTATCAAATGTTTATTAATTAACAGGTTTCCAAGTGAACGTAGATTAAAATTATGGCTTAAAAGCATAAATATTGTGAATTGGCGTCCGAAACAAAATGATCATATTCGTTCCAAACATTTCACATACGACTGTTTTATTAGACATGAGAACTGCACCACTTTGAAAAAGTGCAGTATACCGACAATATTTTCTGGTAGTACCAGTACCAATAAGTATAAAAGTATTAAATTATTATTTCGAATGTTTTTTTTGTTTCTTCTTTCCTCATTTTCCACCAAACTCAAGGACCATAGCCAAGTGTCGAAAGGTCGCCTGATAATGTTGAGTCACGTTGTATGTGTTTTAGTGGGCTGCGGCTAGAGGAGATTCTTCTCCCTCTACTGTAGTCGAGGTGGAGTCGTAAGGGAAGAGGAGTGTTGGTATGGCGATTGGCGATGCGACACAGGACCATGCTTTGTGGCATTCCTTAGGGGAGGCCTATGTTCATCGGTGGACTTGTGAAGGGTTTTAATGATGATGAATGATAATGACATTATATTAATATGATACATAACATTAGAATGGAAGTTACGGGTAGAGTCCATCTATCTATAGAGTCTATTCTATTTATTTAGGTATGGTAGGGTAAATTTTTATCGATATAATTTGGTACACTGTCTTATCTCTATTATTAGTTCCGTGGACGTGCACTTCTGTTGTCAGCGCCAAAAGGGCGGAAATCAAATCGCTTCATCATGTCACGGTGTATAGCCAGTCCAGCGTACTTGTATATATAGAGGTCAGTGGTTACAGCGCTAAGGGCCGCGAGTTCGAATCCCGCACGGAACAAGTATTTTTATGGCCTACAAGTAATTGTTCCGGGTCTGGATGTCTGTCCTTGTGAAATTTATGTTTGTGAACCGCCCCCACGATACAGGAGAAAATCTTAGTGTGGATGTAACGTTTTTTAAAATTAAAAAAGAACGCTAAACTAACTAAAACTAGGTAATCCGGTCTGACACGAGCCGCATACTTTATAAATATGTGGTACGTTGTAATGCATAAAAAGGATCTCACTTATTTATTTATTACAAATTTACTAGTTAACCGACCCGAATTTTCTGCAAAACAATATCGCAATAGTAACTGCAAAACTACGCTTTGCAACAAATAATAAAATAGTCCGGTAATTTTATTAAGACGCTGAATACCATAAATATGAATTTCATAAATAAATGATCATATAAATTTGTAGTAAACGAAATTCTGGACTTTAACCCAATAGCTGTTCATACTCTTGTAAGCCTTTCATTAAGTCGGCCCTACCCTAATAATACGCGTCCGAACGCTTTTACACTTAAACCAATTGAATGGTCTAAGCTTTTACAGGAACGACGTGACCGGTATCGGTAACGTCGTCGCCTACTGCCAGTAATATCGCCACGCGCCATTCACGTAAAAAAAACAAGTAGGGCTGGGGACCAGACGTATTTTTCTGTATATCCATGAAGAATAAGAAAAATACGTAATATAAATGTCATACATGTCATCGACTATATTTTATTATGTTGTTTACAAATGTGGTCGGAGTAGTCGCAAAGTTACACCCAAAAATAAGCTACGTGACCGGTCACATGGTCAAATGAGTTAATTATAAGAGCGTCCTCGTAGTTATGATCCGTTTTAAACTTGTACACTTACACAGTACAATATGAAATGAGAAAAATGGTTTAGTTTATTATTTTATAGAATAAGGATCTCTAACGAACACAAAATCTACCTGATGGTAAGTGGTTACTATGGCTTATAGACATCTATCTATATCTATCCGCCATTATCACCCCAAGGATTATGATTGAATGCCTCGTTTCCAGTAAAAAAGCTTCCGGTTGTTACACTTACCCCATTTAACACAGCAGTATTAAGCTTCTATTTTACGCTGGTGTTCTGTAAGCGTGGCTTATCCCAAGCCGAGCCTTCCTATTCGTGCTATAATCATAATATAGCTACAGCGTGGCTCTACAGCGTATGAAAAGATAGCAACATTAGAAATACTTTATTACGATATTATTTTATGTATAAATAAGGTTTTTTACAGTATTTCTAATGTAAGTAATGAAGAACAGGATTAAAAACATTCCAATGCTTTATTGATCGTTTAGTCGTATCTTCCTTATTAAGCTACAAGCAGTTCTTTATTGAGCTAAAAATGTATGAATGAATTTTAATGAAATTGCCGTGGAGAAAATTATAGGGCAGAAACTTGCACACTTAAGAGCAAATTCAGAGCCAGTGTAACGTCAGCCAAACAGTATTGCGGAAGCTCGGAGAACGTACTCTAAACCCTCTTATAGTAAGGACTTTCCTCTCGGTGCGGGGACTTATCCTCTCTGGTTGAGCATATTTTTTCTCATAGTACTTATATACTTGCCACTTCTTCAAAAGAATTGTGAATTAGTATATAGTTCGTATACACATGGTAGAGCCATGCTGCTGTTATATTAGATGCATAGTTGTAGCACGAATTGATCGGCTCGACCGGGGAAGGACCACCTCTCACAGAATACCAGCGTGAAATAGTAGCTTAATGCTGCTGTATTTGGCATGGTGAGTGTAGAGAACCGGAGACCCTTTTTACTCGAAACGAGGCATTCCATCTTAGTCCTCACGGGTGACAACGCATCTGCATTTTGATTCGTTATTGGGTTAGATGTAGATGTCTATGGGCCACAGCAACCACTTACCATCAGGTGGACTGTGTGCTCGTTTGTCAACCTATCCTATAAAATAAAATAAATAAAATAAAATATACAAAAGATAAAACGGTTCATTAAATAAAATCTTAGTATCAGCCAAAAAATCAAAAGTGGCTTAATTTGTTAATAAAAGTAAAATAGCTTTAGATAGCTTTGGAAGTCGATGCTTAAGGACAGTGTATTATCGACGAGTTAGTAAAGCTCAACTTGTGCTATTACAAATTATTTTAATTTTCTTTTATTACAAAGTACTCTTTCACTTTTTCAAAAGTTTAATTATTTTTAAAGAACGGTGTATAAATATGCATATTAAAATCTTCATCCTGTATTCTTCCTATATATCTGCCTTAGGGACGTTTGGAATTTTTACTTTAAATTAATATGTAACCCAGAAGTAAGGCCTGTATAATAAAAAACAAATCATTTTTAAGTTAGTTCTGCCGTATCCCAGAAATCAATGAATATACCTAGCCTAGGAAAAAACACCGGACAAGTGTGTTTTTTCCGAGTATGTTTTAAGTTTCTCCACGAAATGTACAACTACGGCATCGGTAGGCTAGAATGAGTTGCCAATTACATCGGATCGGTATACTCAATCTTTGGCGTTATCTTGACTTATCATCATTATGTGAAATTGCCGTAAAACGTTGGTTCATAGAAAAATTATAAATTAAAGTTAGCGATCCCGAAAACCAACAATGCCACTCGCCGTTGCTCTTCCTGCAGTAAAATATTTATTATTTATCTTGAGTACAACTTTCATTGATTAATTGTTTTAATAGATGACGAATGCCGTAAATTAACAAAGATAACATAGTTATATTTAAAATAAGTTCGCATAACAGTAAGTAGTTAGGTAATAACTAAAATTTTCACCAAAATAATTAACATTACCTACTAAAGTTCAAAACTATATTAGTACATGGTTAAAATATAAGTTATATTGAAGAAAAACTCAACTTTGTAGGTAAAATAATATTTTCCCATTAATTGATATACGTCACGGTCAATTCTCCAACTGCAAAAGTAAGTTTGTAATCATTTTTTGTGTGACAAATCTCCAAAAATTACGACTTTCGGACGTTTTACTTTAATACTTGTGGTGTGTTTGCTGTGGTGCCCAAATTTCATGATTCAAGGTCAACGGAAAGTTCATAATAGGTTTTGATGTTAGCCGTATTTTTTATTGCGTTGTCTCAGATGTTTCATTTTTTTAGAGATCTAAGCCACACTTTCCTGAGAAAAAGAGTCTTGATAGGATCATGGACGGACGGATCGATAACTGAGTGATCCCATAAAGGGTTAGGGTTAGGGTAAGGGTTACGTTTCTTTCTTTGTAGGTACGGAACCCTTAAAAGTAAAATTATACGCATAGGATATAATATATTAATCGTCACTTTTTAACTCGTTTAATAAAATAGCAACTGTATGAAGACTACACACATACAAAAGGTCAAGGGAGACACACTTAACAATACCCTTATTAATTTAATTTATTTAATATTTTATAGACACTAAAAATTTCGAGACCAGCCCGTTTTAACTATTATTGCAATAGTTAATATTATATAATAATGATATTATCATAATAT